TTCAAAAAATATATTACATCGCATAATATTCTAGGGAGGATTTTAAAGTCCACGATCCACGACCGGCAGTCAACGCGTCGATAGATTTCCCATCCTCTGCACGCGCGAGGCTCCCCCACCCCGTCACCCCCCACCACCGCCGCGCCGCCGCGGCGCGCTCCCCCACTCCTCGCTTTTGTGATTCTTGCCTTCTTCTTCAGGCGACGCGCGCCCGGAGCGGGGTACCCTATCAAGTTTTGTTGAATTTCTAAAGAAAAATTGGGTCCATACTAGACCGGCGTAGCAACATAGTGTCAAAAAGAGCTTCTGCAAAGTTTGGCTTCGGAAAAGTAAGTTCATACAATCTTCTAAACCGTCCCGGTGTCGTTGTTTAGGTTAGTGTACGCGGACATATCGCATTGGTACAATTTTAACTCAATGATAATGACTCAACTGTCGTAAAAAGCTTTGGTATACATGGTACTAAGGTGCTGGGTGCATAGGCCCCTTCTAAACTGTTTGAAATCTAACGACACGCATCCTAACCTCTGCTAGACGGTCGCTCATCTTCTGCTTTGTTTAGGGACGGCGCTACGCCACGCCACCTCCTCAGTGCTACCTTCTTCTTGTTCCTCTTATCGGGCAACTTCCTCATACATGACCAGCGTCTGGTGCCCCTCGATGATGATATACGACAGGATTGGTTAGGTTATTTCCATTAACGCCGTTCTCGTTCCGTTACTAACATTGTAGAGGTGCCTCCCGCCGTACATTTCCTCGCTCACCAGTGACGCGTCCGAAGTTGCCCAGAGCCGTGGCGGTGGTTCCCGCGCTCACCTCGAACGGAAGCCGCATAACACGGACGAGCCGGGTTGGCGCGCCAATGATCTGCAACGTGACCCACGTCCTCTTGCCGTTCCCGTGATCGAACTCGTAGCACTGCGCCGACCCAATCTTCTCACACGTGGTGTTGCACTCCAACTTCAGAAACACACGACGCAACGGCAACTCAATCTAGATGCCGCGCACATGCTCCGAGGACAGGAGCAACACTTTCTCCAGGAAATCATGCACTTGAAGCGATGTGAAGGCCGGGGCATCCTTGTCAAAGACAAGGAGCACCGTGTCCTTGCGCTTGGCCATGCCGGTCGGGAGGCGATCACATCACAACACAAACACTGCTAGCACACACACACACGCTGGCGCGGGAGGTCATGATCCCCCGCGCGGTGCCTCGGCACCGTAGAAGTTTTGAAGGCGTCCGAACGATCAGGCTCGTCCGCAGCTGTGCGTCCTTGCCCGACCGCTGCTCGGCTAGGGCTTGAATACCTCATTGAAGTAGGCGGGACCCATTCAAGCACAGTTTTTGCGACCTATCATAAAAAACTGTGCAAAAACTGTGCTTTCCATTACTCAACTTCAAAGAAACTGTTTGCCACTCCTTCGTAACGAAAAACTGAAATAAAAATGGGTCCCGCCAACTTCACGACAGCGGGACCCATCGCGAATTTCAACAATCCAATTACGCCATTCTGACCGGAAA